TCTTTCAATTGCCTCTGACCGCTATTCATCGTTGACGACGTGAAATACGTCCGCTGCAAATGGTGCATGTTACAGCTGCGCTGTATGCACTCCATACGGTGCCGTGCAAATGTCTTAGACCATCTAATTCTATCAAGGGGATATTCCCATTCGGGGGCGCCGATTTCAAGCGACTTATTGCATGAAAAAATTGTTGGGTTATTATGAAAGGGTATTTTGAAATATTTGGCCATGTCTTGAGACAACGCAGTGTGATCTTTGGACAATTATCTTTATTATTATTATTATTCGAATTACTGTACGTTTTATATCTTCTAACAGCTGTCATTAGATTTACGTTGTCGTATTCATCTGAAAGAAAAGAAGAATCAAAGGAATTTAAGCTGGATGAAAATGATCATCTTGTGAACTAACACAAAAAGCAAGAAAATTTTTTCACGTTTATACTCCTTTAGATAGTTTTAGTTAATTACCAGATATTTCGTTTCTCCACACACAAAATTGTTTAATCAAGGCACAAATTCATTTCGAATTTTTTTCTCTTGTCGGCGAATACAATTGCTCGCGAAAGTATTCATTTCGGGGGAATGAAGAGAAGAATACTTGATGTTGCTTCTATTGTTGCCTCCCAAGAAAAGTTAAATCCAAGCATTTGTTTGAAAAAAGAAGAGAGTGCCAATTGATATTCAGATAATTAACGTTTTCAAGAGTGTCTCAGTCGCTACTGTAATAGAAACGTTATATTTGGAAATGTTAGCGTATAACGTTTTAATATATTCGTTTCGTATATCCTGCTATTCTCTATTCAGTTCACAAAACTGATTCCTGTTCTTCATTTCCATTCCTCCCTTGATTCATTCCCTGTGATCCCATACATATTCTATAACATTTACTATTAAACCACAGAGCACTATTTATTGCAACATCTTCAAAAAATTTATGAACAAAATCAGATTTTAAGTAAACAATATTGTGGAATATCTTAAATTAAAGCATATCAAGATAGACAGATAGCCAAAGTCTTTTACACAGTATCTACATATTGTACTTGCGTATTTGTATTTATGCACGAAAACAGAATTATGATATTTGTTTAATCTAAAATTGCTCAGAGTCTTTGCACCTGTTTTTTAACCTTGTTGGGATCTTTTTGGATCAACGAATATTATTAAAATAAACGTGGCATTTAAATATTTAGAATTTCATGATTACATTTTATAATTAAAAATAAATTTTAAATATTTACTTTCAGCACATGTATTCCCATATTATATTTACATTCTTTATATATTCAATATAATTTTTCGTGAATTTCATTTACGAATGGAGTATTCCGAAGAAAGGAAATATATCTAAAGAGATACAAAACCACGCAATATTGAACGATTTCTACGCATAAACACGTGAAACGTGAATATTGGTGGGCACTTCCGTTACAAAGTATCTAAAGAGATAGTTATCGTTAATGTTCAATTGTGAAGCTCGGACAGATAATTCTAAAATAGGTCCGACGCTAGAGAAAGCCATAAAACGGAGACTAGGGTAGAAATAGTGAAATTTCTCATGTAAATCCTCTGCCAGCCCACGCTCGGTTTGTAAGCCCTCGCGTAAATAACCAACTGCTGCCTGTGATATACCTATGGGAATATTATCCTAGAAATATTTTCAAAGACGAATATTGACAGTGAGCACGGTATTTGATCCAATTTGTCTTTTCTTTCTTTCTCACCGAGCGTTTCCAATTTTCGTTTCAATCTCCAGCTTGCAACTATGCACGCTGAATGTTTATTATTCGCTCGACTTGTGTCAGACACAGTGCGTAAATTCTGACATAATAAACGCGGCAATAATTTTAAGGCCGTGTAGATATTGTTTATCGTTCCATTTATCGTTTCGACAGTGTCGAGTTATTTATCAAGCGTATTTTCGCCGTTCGCAGGAAACGTTCGTTATA